TCTTTATTTACTTTCAGCGCAATATATCTAATATTGCTATGATGATGGAGAAAAGTCCAGCAGCTTACGCCGAGGATTGGAGCATTCAGCTTGAGAAAAGCCTCCGATCAAAGGCACCAGGTGAGACCATCTATAATTACCAATATGGTTTTCTTGTTTCAGCTCTATTTGGTACTCTATTTGAGTAGATTTCTTTTGCTTTGATCTTTAATCAGTTGAAGCGCTAGAAGAAATTGGCATTCGGCTCCAAAGGTGGAATAGTCAGCCAGAGCTATCCTTTGCGGAGTACAGAATGTTTGGCCTAATCTCTGGAGAGGATAAGCTGTTCCTTAATGCAATTTTCCTGCGTCTTGGGGATGCATTTAGGTCGGGCAACAAGCATATTAAAAGAAGCCTCGTTAAGCTTTTCTTGAAAATGAAGTCAAGAGAAAGAGGTGAGGAAGGTATTCTGAGCAAGGGTAAACTGGAGAATTACTTGGAATTGGTGAGGAGGGTGAAGGAAGTGTTTGATAAAGGTGATGCTGAAGAAAGGACATTTGCTTTGCTCTTGTTGGGCTGCTGGGCTCATTTCACAAAAGATTGCCCAGATATAAGGTGTGATGTGCTGTCGAGTTTGGTGACTGGTGGTGTTTGCGAGGTTAGATTCCGAAACACTCGCATCTCTTATGTCAATTTATGCTAGTGAAATCGAATGCAGTTTATATATAGTTGTTATTTATGCAGTGAGTATACTGAATGAGTATATTGAAGTCGCGGGATGTGGTCACTTTAATTTTTCTCAACATCCCATCTTTCAAATTAAATGAGCTAATATTATTATTTAGTTTGTTGCGGGATCTATTATCATCTATATGTTGAGTTGGTGTTCTTAGATAGAAACTTCGGGTGTATAGAAATAAACAAAAATGTAAAATATCGTATCACACTTTTTTGACGTGGATCTGAGGTTTTTAAACGAGTCATTTATGGAAAGGACTAATGAGCACTTCAAATTGCCACTGGCTAGATGGTCTAGCAGGAGATTTGTAGTTTCCTGTTTTTCGGATTTTGTTTGCTGCAGTTCAATGATTTTATGGATATGGAATTGTTATAATGTGATCTCTTAAAGTTTTTTAAATTTCGACGCTTAGATAAGGGATTTAGAGTTTTTGCATTCGAATAAATGATCTTGAGTATCTTTTGTTGAATCAACAATTTTATACGTAAGAATTATCAGCCTACTTCAAATATGTCATGTTGTTGTTGGTTGCAGCATGTACTAACACATTCTTCGAGAATTTGGATCTCATTTTTAAAACCTATTTACGTAATAGAAAAAATCTGTAACCACTGTCTTCAGGTGAAGGCCGCTTTATTTGCTGCAGGATGCTTGTCTGAATTGTGTGATGACTTTGCCAGTGTGTTCTTGGAGATACTTGCGACAATGATTCAATCACAAGATATATCAGAAGACGTAAAGTTGGCCTGTGGGAGAGCATTTGCTAAATTGTGGTGCCCATTTTCACTAGCACAAAAGGCATACAAGGTTCAACATCTTTCCACTTTGATATATTTGGGTACTCATTCTGCTGATTGCGCCATGGCATGGGTCTTTCTTACAACCAACACAATTTGATCAATGAGCTGGTATTTCAGTAAATAGAAATTATTATTTATGCAGCACGAATGCTTTGAAAAAAAATGGAGTATCAGACAAGAAAAAATGTCTATTATCTATACTGTTTTTTTCTCCTTCTGAGAATATTGACGAATTAATGGGTATTTAATTGGTACTAAAGGCTTGTTAATTTTGAGGTCAAAGTACAGGGAGTGTTTCGATTTGTTAAGATGATTTATTTCTAGACTTGTTTGAATTTTATGTTGCATGTTGTTTTGAAACTCTTTTGTCTTGTTATGTACTCATGATCCTTCACTCTAATTTATTTGTGGAGAATATTACACACTGACACTTTTTTTTTTTCGTTCATGGTTTGATATGGATGAGAGACTTATAAATTTTAGCTTTCTAAATTAATTGGATGAAAATATATTATGTAAATTTTATACTTTAACAGTAGATATATTGTGTCATAATTTTATTAACTTTGCCTTATTTTCATATCCATGTCATATTGCATCCGATACATATTATAAGGAACAGCTGCAATCAAGTTGAAAATAAAATGTTTTTCTGCTAGGTGCAACAGTATGTTGATTGAACTAGATACATTATATTGATGTTCTTCAGTGTGCTTTACGTGTTCAGTTAGAGTGACAACTTTGTGTTGCCAGTCTTGAAAATTTTCCTTGTAGACAGGTTTAAAGGTCCTAATGGATTCTTCAGAAAACCGCTTTTCAGCTCTGATGCTGACTTCACTTTCCAAGATTGCTTCTAGGTGGATGCTTCTAGTTCCTTCTCAGGTGCCTATTCTGCTTATTGATTTTTCTGATTTAAACAATCACTTTCTTGATAAAGGTTTTTATTCCTGAATGGTAAACTTAGGCTAGTTACAACCTCTCTCAGACCCAAACACCCGTGAAATAAAGTTGTATAATTTTCTGAGAATAGAAGATTAAAGGAAAGGGCCACACTTTCAAACCCCAGAACGAAGGGAACTGAATAGAATTGTGGCACAAATATATAGAGGCTTAAAAGATTTTTTGTTTGAAAAATGTTGGATCGAGATACTTGGACAGGATTTATGAACTTATTGTATGATTTATTCTGCAATAATTGAACATTATCATTTCAACACGCTTATGTCTAATCTGAGTAAGAGTAGAGTACGATGGTCAGAAACACAAGAAATATGTTGAATCTGAGAAAGTTCAAACCCATGTAATATGATGAAGAAGTTCGCCACTAATCATATTGATCTTTCGTGCTACAATTTTTTCACTTCTTTCTTGCTTGTGTGGTATAATGCTTTCTTGGCTGTTATATATCTGATTGTAGGTAGAACTGCTCTTTCTATTTCTAAGTGAAGAGAGATCTTTGCACATACAAGCTACATCATTAAGATGCTGCCGCATTATATTGAAAAACGGTGTATGTAGTGTTCCTTCAACCACAGGGACAATCTCTAAGTTATTTGGCATACTACACAGATCCAACCTTGAGCCGACGATACAGCTAGAAGCTTTAAGAGTTCTCCACAAGGTATTTCTATGCTCAAATTCCAGCAATTATTCCCTACTTACCTTTGATGTTTTGTTACAGTATCCCACACCACGCCATTTTGCAGATCCTTTTGTTCGATTTATCAATCATTGCATGCACAGAGATCCCAGAAATTTTTCTTGAGTTGTTGGCAATAATTAAAACCACGCTACATTCATCCTGTACGTTAACCAGAGTTGTAGCTGTTAGAGTTTTAGCCGATCTTTCTGGAATAGTTTTGGGAAGAGTAGATATGGTATCATGTGGAGCTGGTTATGCCCTGGCATCGCAGATGACTTCTTTTGTCTTGGATCATATCTTTTGCCTTATGACACCAAAAGCATCTTCTTTTTATCAGGATGATATTGTTGTGGAGTTTGAGGTTAAAATCTTGCTCAGTCCTTTATTTAATTTGGTTGAGAATCATCCGTACCTCCATTCTCTAGTGCTGAATAATTTATGCTTGTTCACGGATAAATTTATGAAGATGCTTGATGCAGTTAAGGACCTAGATTTGAAAATGCTGTCGGAGTCAAATATCATGCTCCATGTATCCAAAATAATTGTGGCTTGCTTGCAAAATCTTGAAAATACCGATGACACTGAAACGAGCCAAATTTTGGAAGCAGTAAAACTTCAATCACAAAACATATGCCATAGAAGCTATTTTGGTAGTCACACCAGTATGAGCTACTTTCTTTTACTGCACTTGCTTTCCACCTTTATCAGCATGCGGCATGTGGCACAGGAAGTGGTATCTCTAAGTAGAAACTCAGCTCTGTCTTATGCTGATTCCATATTTCAATCTGATAAACTTGCATTTGAATGTGCAAAAATAAAGATGCTAGATGGAAATACTTATTGGTACTTGTATAAGGCTGGGATAACTGCTGCCTGCCAGGGAGCATGGTTTACATCTTCTTTCATATTCGAAGAACTTATTATGGCTGTTCAGTCTGCATCCTGCTCATGCTGGTTGAAATTTTTGGCTCAGTACTCTATGGCAGAAAAGCAGATTCAGCTATATATTTTAGCTGACCAAGGGAATTCCGTTTCCTTTAGACAGAATCTTCTTGCAGCTAGCAATACACTTCTCTCATCAAAGCAGATTCTTTCGACCTCTGACATGGATGATATGTTCAGTTTCCAAACATGGTTTTTAACTCTCAGAGCTAATACCTTGAAAACTGTTGTTGACATGTTAAAGCTTCTAGACACGCTGCATCTATACACGGCAACTTCTCATGATCTTGGTTCTTTATGTCACTCTTCTATTGAGGTCTCCCGCCGGATGTACATCTTAGCTCAAGAATTTGACCTACTTCTGGCGTCTTTCATGGTTATGGACAGGCAGAGTGTGATGAGTGTTTCAGCGCTCGCATTCAGTTGCTCGCTTATGGCCTTTGTAGCTGGTTTTGCCTTTCTAGTACCAAATATGCATTCATCGGAAAATAATAGAATTTCCGAATTTAGTAACTCAGCCGACCCTCACCTTGCGTTGCTTATTGAAGATTTAATTGCACGAGTGACGCACGCCAACTGCAAGACTAGGGAAAGTCTCTTGTTTCTTCAGAAGTCATTTCGCAACTGCAAGGGGTGTTTTTCTGGGTGGTCCCAGAACAAAATTACCTGTACGTCATATGAAGCAATAGTTTTGCACAAGCTAGCAGAGTATTCTATCAGGGAGATTATTGGCTTGGGAAATGAGGCGCAACAAGATAGCGAGGGGTTGTCTCGGATTCTTACTAATGGTACACAGCTGCTGCTGCAAATATTTTCAAGACTGATGTTGATTCCTGTCCGAACTCCTCGTCATTTCTTTCGAATAAGGTAATGTATAATTTATCCATTTAACTGACTTTGAAGACTGCATGCATCATACTATTTTATGACGATTTATTTTCCAATATATGATGCGATAAGTCTTATTTATATTACAAATTAGTCAGTGTTCTATTTTTGCCTGGCATACCAAGTTCTTAATGCTTAATTTTTAATGTAATGAGTTGTGGGAAAGTTGAGATAGTAAATAGTGTGGAACACTAAAAACTGAGGAGCCAAAAATTAATTGGATCGCTAGACGTAGTATGACTGCTAATGAGGATTATCATCGCTGAATATACTATAGCTTAATTTTTATATATATGTCTTTTTTTTTTTTTTTTTTTTTTT